CTAAAATGGTCAAGAGATAACCTGGACTGACCCGGGTGTTAGTCAATGGTAAAGACAATGGGGGGTGAGGGGGATTCGATCTTTTCACTCTGGGGGATGATGGTTTGGGGAGGAAGGTGGGAGAATTATCTCCTGGGATTAAATACTCATATGCTTACCCTTGAAGAAAACAACAAGTCAACCATAGGTTTGGGGTGACCTTCCCCAAATACGTTTTTTGTCTTTTGCCTTCCTAGCTTGTTGAAGCTTCTTACCCATATTGGCCAGGCTGTTACTGGCTCCTTGTAGCCTAAAGGGACAGGGTGAACCACAGCACTAGTGTATAACAAGAATGTCATTAATTAAAGAGTGATGGGGTCCCTGGCATGCTCATATTTGAGTCATGTTATTATCGAATTTTCAAGTCAAATTATCTCTGTAGTTCTTACTAAGGTAGCTAGCTATACCACTTGATTAGGTTTTGTATTTCTTTGGATCTTAGTATATGTAAATGTCTTTTTAGATTTATACTAAATGCTATTGAATGCAGGTACCTCCCATTTCTTGGAGTTACCTAACATTTCTGATTGAATGCTGGGTTTCACTTGGCTTCCCCTGATTATTTGGTTACAGCTTCCAAAATTATTGCACTGTCAGGAAGCAGACACATTTGTTTGCTGTTGATATTTGTTTTCAGGATTTCTTGTTAGACAGAACATCTAGAGATCATGTCATTTATACACTTGTCTCCTTGGAGGAGTTCCACTTGGCTATGGATCCCTATTTTTGAAAGAAAGCTTAAACTAATTTTTTTTTCCCTTTTTGTCTTTTTTACTGACTGGTAACGGGATCGCAACCCTCGGTGTTGCGGCTGCACCTCGCTAAACCAGTGATCGGGAACCAGTCTCCACATGGGATCCGAACCTTCCGCGGGAGCGCCGCCACGCTCCCAAGCAGCACACTCTCCACTGCGCCACCGGGTGGCCCTTAAACTAATTTTTTTTTCCTTTTTGTCTTTTTTCGTGTCCGGCAATGGATTGCAACCCTCAGTGTTGTGCCCATACGGGACCGGGACCGGCAACGGGATCGCAAACCTCGGTGCTGCGCCCGCACCTCGCTCAGCCAGTGAGCGGGAACTGGTCTGTACGTGGGATCCGAACCCTCGGCAGGAGCGCCACCACGCTCCCAAGTGGTGCACTGTAGCAGTGCGCCACCGGGCCGGCCCCCCCTTAAACTAATTTTTAATGGGAGTTTAAAGCAACACAAATAGTCTGACATGGATTGTGTTGTGAAGTTTTGCTCACGCAAATGGATTTATATTGTACCAAAAAAATCACTCCCCAAATTTCATATTATGTTAATATTTATATTAATATATTATTGTGAACCTTATATGCCTTTATTTTCATTCCTTGTTTTTATTATAGTTTTTCCTTCCCTTCCATGGTGCCAACTCCTTTCTGGACAGTGATGAATTTATGCTTTACTGTTGATGCCCCACGAATCCTACTGATTCTTGACAAGAAAAGATCACCACTCCCTTCGGAATCATTCCTCCCAATATCTCTTATATAGCTAAAGCATTACACGTATTATTTTTTAAAAATTTAAATCTGCTTTAGAGGGAGGTCTTCAGTGCAGACATAGTCATAGTTCCTCATAAACTGTTTTGGCTAACATTTATAAGATAAATTAACCACTTTTTATTTTTTGTTTATTACACAAAATTATGCTAATCGAATTGAGTTCCCCCAGCCTTTCCTTTCTGGGTGTTCTCTTCTGGATAGTTTCTAACATGTCCATATAGTACAGTTGTAGGGCATAGGATCAGGTGTGGTTCTCTGACATATTCCTGAAACAGAATCAAATACAGCCTGTACACAGAGAGAACATTAGAGACATTGCCACATTCATCAGTAATTTCCTGTGCAAAATGCAGTAATGTTTAACCGAAGAAACGTAAGCAACCTTCATTAGACCTTTAATAATATGGGCTATACATGGAGATTAGTAGAGATCAATGCAGGCTGCTCGGGGGACACAGACACTGGGTAATTGGCTGGGCTCACTCACCAGATAAGTAGCTTATTTGTGCACATCTGCTTTGTACAGTAATTCAAAACTGTCTCAGAAAAATGACAATTATACATGAAGAACTCATGGAAGTTCCAACTGCAATGAAATCCATGCATACTCAGAGCCTACTCTATTGTTCACTAATTACCAGAGTCTTGCAGTGTTCTGGTAAAGTACTCTTTAACTGCAGCAACTTGCCATTAAATTGTATTCCTAGATTCTTGTGGCTGGTGAGGCTGTTCTGTCTCTATTAGTGTATCCTTCCGCGACTGAAGAGAAGGCCAGGGGACCAGGGAATTTCTTCTTCTTACAATAAGAATCAATACTAGTTCCCCGCCCCCCCCCCCCATGTTCCAAAGTGAAGTTGAGGGTGGCAGGTAAAAGTGGTGATCTTTGGATGTGGCCGTCTCTACCTTCCACCTGCTGATGTCACTATGAACATGTGCTTCAGAAGCACTGCTTGCTCTCAGATCGGGGCAGATTCTGCCGGACTCAAACTCAGCTGGCCCTGTCGAACAGGAGCTGTCCACCAGGAGCCTGTGTTTTCCCCCTGCTGGTGTGGGGTTACAGTTTTAGCCAACTCCCCCTAACATCTGCTTATGCTCACACTTAAATCATCCATAAGGCGTGAATAATCATAACCCCAATGTCTGTGTGGTGTTTTTCCTGCTGCTTCCACATCTGTAGTTCAAAGCCCAGAGCTTTACGATAGCTCTGTAAGGTAGGGATGGCTGGTGTTTTCATGACCTTGGTACAAACAAAGAGTCAGCACTTTGTGGAGGAATGAGAGAAGGTTTGTGGCCAGAAAGATCTCACTCTGTCACCGAATAGCTGGGAGACCTTGGTCATGTTCCCTAACTTCTCTGGGTCTTAATCTCCACCTTCAAAATGGAACAAATAATAGCTACCTTAAAACATATGTGTGAGGCGGCGCTTGGGAGCGCAGTGGCGCTCCCACCGCGGGTTCGGATCCTACATAGGAATGACCGGTGCACTCACTGGCTGAGCGCGGTGTGGGCGACACCACGCCAAGGGTTGCGATCCCCTTACCGGTCACAAAAAAAGGCCCCCCCCAAAAAACAAAACCCATATGTGTGAGAATTAAATGAGATAATGTTTAGAAAATACCTATCAGGGTACCTGGCCATCGGCATTCACGGAAATTAAAAGATTTTTCGTGGATGCATCGTACGTAGAAGAACCTAGACTAAAATTCTCTCTGTTCTGCCCTGTGGTTTTTCCAGGCTAGGAACAACAGTTGCATTTCCACTTTTTTGAAGCATTGGACCTGTTATGAGATGGGGTATTTTTAATTCAAGTGTTAACCTAACTTCCTTAAAAATTTAAATTTTCACTTTTTCTGGAAATGCCTGCCAGGAGCAGGATTGCTGTGTTAAAGGAAGAATAAACTTTTAATTTTGATAATTATTGCCAAATTGTCTTTCTATGGTTATAATCCTACCAGCCAGCAAAGGAGGAGGATAGCTATTAACCTCGCCAGTGGAGTGCATTATTGAGGTTATGGACTTTTGCCAATATGATAGGGAGGAACTGTATATCAGTGAAGTTATTAGGAATGATGTTGAGCATCTTTTCATATATGGAAGGGTCGTTTCTATTTGTGTGTGTGTGTTTGTGTAATCTATTCATATCGTTGCTTATTTTCCTCTTGGGTTTGTTTTTTTCCCTTCATTTTTAGTAGCTCGTTATGTATTGGATCATTAACCCATTTGTCTTTTATGTAAGTAGCAAATGTTTTTCCATATTTGTCATTTGTCTTTTGACTATCTCTGGTGGTTGTGGTGGTGGTGTTAGTTGTCGGTACGTGTGTGTGTGCGTAGTTTGTTTTACCATGCAGAAGTTCATTTTATTTCTTTATGATTTGTCACCATACAAACGTGAGTAGGACCATGTCCCTCCCCTGGGAGTTCAGCCCTTGGGCTTTGCTGCCAGGAGGCCCTCAGAGTTCCTGCAGATGTTCATTTTCAGTGAAATTTTGCTCTTGTTAAACGTTCCCTTCTCTGAATATATAGTGTGTGTGCATGTGTGTATTTACACCAATTGCTATCACTTATCAGTTCACATTTGTAACTCCCTGGTATTTGCTTCTTTTTGCATCTTGATTTTGTCTGTTCACTTACGGTCACTCACAGAGAGCAGCGTCTGCTACCATACCCAGCACAGCGTGGGGCGCTTACTGTGGCTTCAGTAAGATCACAATAAAGAAGAGTGGCCCTGTGCCCTAGTAAGCCACGGAGGAGTTCTGGATGTTATGAGGTGGGTAATTTAAAACTCCCTCTCCCTTGCAGCCTGGATGCCCATTCTGAAACATACCCCAGGCCGTGTCCCTTGGGAGGGATCGGGCCACCGAGACGGCTCTAGATGGAGTGACGAGAGCTGAAGCTGGGGCTCTCCTTTACTCCTTATAGACCTCCCAGAACCTTTCCCTTCTTGGGGGAGATTGGGAATTGGCCTACCATAATCTCCTCATCAGCCCTTCCTTCTCCAAGTGCAGAGTTTGGAGGCAGCGGCTGAAGGAAGAGAAATGGAAACAAGCAAGATTCAAGCTGCCATTGGCTTTAATGCGGGCAAGGTGGTGGGGAGGGGCCTGGTGGTGAGATGGTGAGCAGGGCATCCCCTTGTCACTGGGCGCTGTGGGAGCTGATTGTGGCAGGGAGAGGAGCCCCCTGCCTGCGTTGGGGAGGGAGAAGGGAGACGCGGAATACAGGAGGATGTTAGCGCCTCGTGTCAGTGAAGGTTGGACACCACCGTGCGTGCACGGCAGAGATGGGAAAGAGACTGGGCTGGAGGCAGGAGACCAGAGGGGCTCAGCCGTGATGTGCCCTGTGAGATAGGCCCATCCCTCAAAACACACAGCAGAGGGCCCAGTCTCCCCACCACCTCCTCCTTGGTGGGCTGCCCTCCTGCCTGAACGGTGGGTCAGTCTACTTCTTCCGCCCAATCTGCGCCATCAGGTGGGCATTGGCAGCTGCCTTGGCCCGCAAGTTCTTGGCCTTGGCGATGTTGAAGAGGATGTTCATGATGTTGGTGGGCACATCTAGGGATAGAGTGAGCTTGGTGCGCCGGTCACTCTTGGCCTTGTCCTGATACGGCTTCCCCCTGAGCTGGGCTTGGGACAGGTATTTGTACCGGGTGCTCCCAGCTCCGTTCTCACCCCTAGAGCCAGGGAAAGCCTTTTTGTCCTTGTCCTGTTTCTCCTCCCCCTCCCTCTCCTCCTCATCCTGTCCTGAAGATGGGTCTTGGCTTGGCATGTAGTGGAAGGTTCTCTTGCTCAGCAGGGGCGCATCACCCGGCTGGCTCTTCTTGGCTTCTGACAGGGCTGCATTGAGGCAGCTGAAGAAGGGCTCAGCTTTGCAGAGCTTTTGGGAGAGGCCTGTTCTCGGCCCCCCCAGGAGCAGCAGCAGCAGCAGGAGGAGGTGGACCTGCATCAGCATCTCTCCCTGCAGCAGGAAAGAGGGATGCAGGAAGGGGTATGAGAGGGGCGTCGGGCCAGGAGGGAGTGGAGTAAAATCCAGCGCTCTACCACAGGGGTGCTGATAGTGTGGCCCCAGACTAGCTGTATTAGCATCACCTGGGCATTTCTTAGAAATGCAAATAATTCTCAGGTCTTTTCCTAGAAGTCATACACCAAGAACTCTGGAGCCCAGCAATCTGTGTTTTATCAAATGCTTCAGATGATTCCGAGGATCACTAAAGTTTAAGGACCATTACCTGACTCGTATTTATGGGTTTTATGTAATTCTCCTTTGCAGGCAGCCACTGGCCCTGTAAAGTGAACAACAGATATGCTAAGTAAGCATTTAGCAGCCTAACAGTGTCGACTTTTGTGGCCAAGTACATTTTTAGCTCTCTTGTCATCAGCAGGGCTGATTGATTACAACCCTATTGCTTAAAGACCCAGGCTGTGCATCTGGTCTGTGTTTCAGTGGCAGATCTTTAAGACTAGCCCTGCCATGAGGCTATTCTAGTTACTCAAAAACAACCAGTTTTGTTAATTTGGTTGGTTGTACCATAGAGTTTGTGGAGCCGGTCACTTTGGTCTTTGTGTGAGACCAAGTCTCTCCCAGAGAGCACCTACATTCTCTAGCACCAGACCTCGATCCGAGGGCTACCAGCTGCCTTTTATACATGTGTGTGGTTGGTTATCAGTCAACCAATTGATAACCAACCACACACATGTGAAGGTGGTCTCAGAATCAATCCAGGGACCCTGCTGCTTGAGGACAGGACCTAGCGGGAGAGGGTTAGTGCCTTTGTCAGGTGCCTGTTTGTTGGTACTTCCAAATGACAGGTGGGTCATGCAATTGATCGGGGCAAGAAGGAGATGCTGAGAGGTATAAAAGTCATAGTCTATGGTGACCATCTGAATCTATTTTCTTTTCTTAAAAAAAACAAAAACAAAAACAAAACCAAACCTAAGCTTTAGTGTATGAAACATGTTGTGTCAATAAAAATGCCCGGATCAATGACTGTCTTGTAACTTGGGTGTCTGGGCTTCACGCCATCACGTGTAGTTGTTGGTCTACTGATCAACAGCATTAGACAAGACTTAAAGTGCCTTTACCCACAGGGGAGAAGGGCTCATGCTGGGCCACACACACCCTTCTGCCCAGTGTCCTTTGCAGAAATGGCACACGGTTGTGTCAGAAGGCTATCGGAATTATGGTTGTCTGTGGTCACTGTTCCTTAGGAAACTGTGAAGTGGGAAGAGTTTGCCTCCTGTGCCCTGGGACCAAGCCCACCATGCACCCCTGTCCCCTCTGCCTGGTCTGTGGGCACACACTCTCTCTAGCTCTGAAATAAAGACCCAAAGTCCATTTACTTCATTGTCGTCCTTCATCATGAGTAGGAAAAAGTGAGGTCAAAATGTCAGGGTTTTATTTAAAGTCCTAGGGTAAGCACAGCCGCTGCTCTGTATGCGGGGACAAGCCGACATAAGGCCTTGTTCTAAGGCCGCGTGGTCAGAATGACCACCCCTGGGCTCTCCCATGAGATGTGCATAGTGCAAGGCTCAGTTTTCACACTGGATGTTTTACCTCACTTGGAGTTTATTTTATCACATAAGACATACTTGGCTTCCACAAAAGGGAGCAAGAAGCCCGTGGTTAACTACGAAACTTGGGGGAAGTCCTTTCTTCTGGTGGTTTTTCAGTAAGTAAGGCAAACTGGATCAGAACAACTTGAGGATTCTCCCGTGCATCCAGCTGTATGAGGCTGGCATTGGGTTGCTTTATTTTCTGTGGTGACGGTGTGGAGCAGTGCCAGGTGGGCTGTGGTCAGTGGCCTCAGCTCTGCAGCTTGCTGCCAGCAGGGCCTTGCCCACGCCGTTTCCCAGCACAGAGTGCAAGCGGACCTGAGCCCCTTCCAAACGTCCTCAGGCTGTGAACAACGGATGGCACTAGAACCGACCTTTAAAAAAACTGAGCCTCATTTTCTCTCTAAAGGAAAATTCCTGCTCTTTCACTTACCCTGGAAACACACATTCACACACACACACACACACAAGCATGTACACACACACCTCACACATGCACATGTGCATGTACACAATACACACACATTTACACACAACACATATACATATACATATGCACATGCACACACATACACATGCAGTATACACACATATGTGCACACGTACAGCTCATATACACTTTAAACACACATATGCACATACAGGCATGCATACACATACACATGTGCACTCACACACAATGCACACACACATAACATATGTACACATGCAGACATGCACATACACATGCAGTACACACATGTGCACACACACCTCATACACACTTTAAACACACATACACACATACAGGTATATAAACATGTACACACGTGCACTTACACACATGCACGTGCATACACATACAGTGAACACAAATACATATACACACATATGCACACACACATACATACCTCACACACATACACACCTCGGACACACAGACACACATCCAAATACTCACACACACAATGCACAACACATGTGGACACACACACGCACACACCCATGTATGCACACTTACTTGGCATGTGTTCTGTGAATCCTGTTGCTTTCCTTGGCATTCACATGGCAGCTGCTGCCTTTCTTTTCTTTCTTTTTTTCCATAAGAAACCAGGTTCTGTTTTGTTTGTTCCTTTGTTTTGCATTACAAAAATTTGGAGCTTATTTTATCTAACAATATTTTTCTCAATATTTATGAAAAAATGCCAGATCCTTGCTTTAAGTAATCCAAATGTATGAACTAGGCAGATTTGGGCATATAGCTCTGTGCAGTGAGGATGACACAGACTTTGGAGTTAGACACAGGTTCAAATTCCATCTTTGTCCTTATTTGCCTGAGGACCTTGGACAGATTGCTTAAGTTCTATGCATTTCAATTTCCTGGTCTGATAAATGGGATAACAGTAACTACCTCATAAAGGTTAAGTGAAGGATTAAATTAGAAATGTCAATATGTGAAAGCTCTTGGTTTAACCAGACAATTAGTAAAGGCTGGCTCATGTTTGTTTACACATGAATAATTTCCAGGTCTTATTAGAAGAAGGTGTGGTCTGCACACAATCTTTCCAGAAGTGACTTACACACACACACACACACACACACACACACACACACACACACACACACACACACACAATGTAGTTTGGTCCAGCAACTTGACCCTGCAGACCGTGTACTGTTGCACTGCATCTCTGGTTTGTGGTTGTTAGCTACCTTCCGCCCTCTCCACCCCACCTTATGTAAGCTCATTTTGCCTTTAACTCAGTCTAGATAAGTAAGTGGTTCTTGGATTTATAGTGCTTCGGAATCATGTGGAGGGATTGTCCAAACACAGACTAGGGGGCCCATCCGAGAGTTTCTGAGACGATGGTGTGGGATGGGGCGTGAGAACTCACACTCCTGTGTAGCCCCAGGTGAGGCTTGTGCTGTGGGCTCACAGACCACCCTGTGAGAACTGCTGCTGCATGTACCCATCCCATGTCTGTGCTCTTGAGAATTTCCAGAGAATATTTTACAGGGGTGGATCGACTGTCTCTGTGGAAAACGGGCTTATTTTTCTTTAAATATTGTGCTCAATACTCAGACCTTTGGCTTTATCACTTACTGAGGATCCAGTGAGTTGCTTCTGCATAAATAGAGTGTTAATTGGGGTTTTAGCTGCTGCATGCACTGAAAGCAACTTAAAGCTTGGGGACAATTTTAAATGACTTGTTAACCCTAAAAGGATTTGGAAAACCAAAAACCAATACGGAAAGGGTTAACACTGGTGGGAAAGCCATGAAGAGATTCCGTCTCTCTGTCCTAGCAGCTGGCTGGTGTGGGGTTCCGAACCCTTGACCTTGGTGTTACTAACACCACGCTCTAACCAACTGAGCTAACCAGCCTCTCTAGTCCTTTGTCCCCTAGTTCTTTTCACAGACCAGACTAGTCCTGTCCCTCCCCTGACTAGCCCCTGACGTCTCAGCGTTTTCATCCCTGAGAGCAGGGGCTAAGAGTGTGAGAATCTCTTTGTTCTGATTTCTTTCTTTTTCTACTTCTGAAAGCAAGAGATTCCTCTATAAAAAGAACCTGGAGAAAGAAATGATTTTTCTGCTTTCACCAAATGAAGTGGTCTGGACTCTGTGTGAGTGTAAGTCCTTAGGAGGATTTTGGGGTGCAGCTGTCATGCCTTCCATCTTGTGGGGTTCTGCAAGGCTCCCTCTCCCCCTATTCACTGAAACTGCTGCAGCAGAGCCCCCAGAACCAGGTAGAACAATACCCCCCTCCCCTCTCTATCCCCTTCCCAGGGGACTCACCCTCAACCACCTGGAATTTTACACAAGAATCCAATATTGCTGAGAACTCAGGATACATTTTGTGTCCAGGTCCATCTTGGGGCTCCACCTCTGCCCACACTGGCAGCTCCTGTGATGTGATTTAACACCTGCATTTACCTGCCTATGTTCCCCCAGAGTGCTTTTAAAGACTTGGGGTACTACGAGTGTTGCATTTCTTTTGCATCTCCATTTCTCCTACAATTTGCTAAGCCTTTCACTAGGCAGAGATTTCTCCCTGGGTCATTTTGGCTTTTGGCATAGTTACCTGGGATGCCTGGGAGGGCAGATGTGGTCAATAGTGCCTTGTACTAGATCATATCCTCAATAAATATTTGCTGAATAAACTGAAATTCAGATTAGTATTAAGGCGCTTAATTAAATCAATTTATTTTCCAAGGCCAAACAATCCTCTTTTAAATTCTTTTTGGATGTTTATTTTCTCTGAAAATACATGTTATTACATATTATGGAGGGAAAAACCCTTAATAAGGCATACATTTTTTTTTTTTAATTTTGAAAATCATACATGTGTATCTGGAGTCACTTGAGGGTTTCCAAACAAAAAACAGCCCTGCCTAAATAGCTTTCTACAGTTTTCCCTGGA